TTATTAATTATGATTAATATTTTATATATATATATATATATATATATATATATAATATTTTAATAAACAAATCAATAAAAAAACATGTTAAATTACATTACCTATATTATTGGGAAGTCGGGACTTTGAAACTCCACTCATCCACGTCAATCAGTCTACCCCTAAATGGACATCACTTTCTATTTTACCCCCAATATATTCTTAAAAACTTTCACATACATACACACATATAATTGGAGGTTTAAATGAGAATACCTCTATTTTACGAGAACGTATGAACATCCTTATCGCATTTGATAATACGCGTGAGGGGACCATGTGATGTACGGACGACGTGTTCTACGACTTAGATCGCGTCAAAGGTTGCATGTGTCTATGATTTAGCATCACATGTAATGGTCTTGATGGATTATAGTATCATATCAACAACAATCTTATCACATGTGATAATACTTGTGAGGGGACTTAGTGGTGGAAGGGCGACTTGGCCCACAACCAATATCGCATTGAAAATCGTCCGCGTCTCTTATTTAGTATCACATGTGTATCGCATGTGATTGTCTATAGTGAAAAGATGTTCTTGAATTCTCGTAAAATGAAGGTGTTCTCGTTTGAACCCTTCCATATTATATATAGTGTTCATAGGTGTTGTTTATGATCTTTTCCACAAATACTCATGTTCTACAATATTCACCAATGTCCATTTTTGTTCAATTTTTCATTTATTACAAATATATCATGATTAAGAATTAAAATTGGTTCACATATTTAACTCTAATTATTAGGTTAATAAAAGAATCGTTGCCTATATATATATATATATATGTGTGTGTGTGTGTGTGTATATATATGTATGTATGTATGTGTATTTTCCGGGTGTTAGTCTCTTACCGTCACCTAGCATTAATGAGGTTGACCCCATTGTGTCTATTCTGGAGTTGGTTAAGCAATTGTCATTATAAAAAAGAGAAAAACGATCCAAAAATCTACCCCACACTACTTATGTCGGGTCCTATGGATTGTGCATGTGGCTCTCCTTCCTCGATGTCTTGATAGGGTATTGTAATATGTAGGAGTTTGTTTTTATCTTTCCAAGAAACAACGAATTTGATAAATTATTCGTCAACGTTGTTTAGTCTTTTTGAAATAGACTCTTTCAAGCTCTTTGAGAGATACAATTCATACAAAATGTCAATTTTTTGCAACCATATTGGACCCAAACGTAACTAGTTATATACGCTGTTTGGATATATTATTTTTCTATAAGATTATTATTCTTTAGTTGTTGCCCAATGTTTCTAAACTGTTCAAGGAAAAAAAACACATTGGTGTAAAAAGGGTTATAATCAACGATTCTCGAAATGGTCCAATCAAACCCACCCCAAGGACGTTATGTAAGAGGCAAATCCTATTTTTAGTTGTCTTAACTATTAAGACATTAATCGCCATAATTCAGTTCATGTCAAACCCAATATATCTTTTGTATCTCATAGTACTTTTAGTATGTTCGTAGGAAATACCTGTTTCAGATATAAAATAACCCATCTGCATGGGTGAGAGACGCTGGGGAATTGGTTTTATTCTAAAGATTTTGGTATGATGTCCATTATAATTTTATAACTCTTAAAATTCAAAAATAACTTATCATCGTTCAAACACGAGCAATGAGAAGCAACCAAGTAGAAAAATTGGATCAGGCAAGGAGGGTTGTATAGTTTGTCTCATTGGTCTATTCACCACTGAGAACATATATAGTTTCAGTATTTATGCTTGAGGATACATTTATCTGTTACACCATCTTGTATTTATTGTAATCTCTGTCAAAAAAATACTGTAATTCATCTTCTGATGAAAACCTTTGACTTCGCCATGAAGCTTACCTTCCTTATTCCACGACTTCAAACAAAATTTTAAAAACTATATATTTTGATTAAAATAATACCAATTGAGTAACGAATTTTGTCAACAAGATGAACTTGTTTATGTATATCATCTATTCAGTCAACTCTCAATTAGCTGTACACAAATAATTGTGAGTAATAACGTACTTATCATGAAATTATCATATATAACAGGGAGAGATGAGTCACGTATATATGTATCGAGTAAAATTATATTTATATGTAGTTGTTGAAATGGTCAATTCAATTTATTATACTCCCCATTAGGCTAATTAACAGTTTGACTTTGGAAGACATTGCATATGATTCTCGTAAACTGAGTAGTTTGTCTTCAAACAACTAAATCATTTATTAAATCAGATATAATTCTTAATTATAATAAACAATTTTTAATTCTTAGAATCGGTATCAGTAAACTTTATGATATTTAGAACGTGTTTTCATTTTATAATAATAAGATATCAAAAAATAGACTAATTCTAGAAGAACTGATTACCAAACTCTTTATAATATAATGTATAAGATGACATGTTTTTATAATGACGTGTTACAATAAAATAGGGTAAAGGAGAGGGGTTGTAACACAAAATAAATATATTTTTCAAATAGTTCAGATCTTGTACGTATGTACGTATTATTTTCTAAGACTCTTCGTAATATTTGTTTGGCTTACAAAAAGTCTATGGTCCTGAAACGAGAAACCAACACAAAAGTTTAGAAATTGACGATACATATCACAATCAATTTTACATCGCTATAAATGACGTTATTGATTTGCTTGTATATATTTTATTATTTTTAATTAATCAAAAGATCGAAAAATCTATGGTCCCAAAGCAAGAAACTAACACAAAAGGTGGAAATTATCGTTGTGTGTCGTCTTCAATTTTCTGTCGTTGACGTTATCGATATCTGGAATTGTATAAAAACGGAAAATACCAAAAAATGTTGAAGCAATTTCTCAAACTTTTATCAAACATAGTATATATTTAAGAAGAAAAAAATGAGTCAGATGTTAACTTATTGTTTATATGATAATGAAGTTAATTTAAAACTAATTTCTTCAGTATTTTATAATCTATACTATATTATAAAGTGTTTGACAAAAACTTTTAAAAACCATTTTTATGCATAAAGTACTATATATTGATGCATATTACTTAAAATTCAAGATTACAAGTAAATTGTGCATAAATACATCTTATTAAAACTCGATGTTTTAATTCGTATAACTAAATGTAGATAAACATAATCAAATACAATATAAACATCTCATTTCAAAATATAAAAAATATAAAATATAATTAGGATAATTATCGACTTCTAACAAAATAATTAATTATTATCTTCATAGAAAAATTATATTATTTAAATCAAATATAAATTACTTCGTTATTGTACCTAAATTAAATTATAATAAAAAATTAAATTAAAAAATTACACAAAAAATAAGGAATTTTAAATAGTTAATTTGATACTAATATCGATATATTTTTGTCAAATTTTTATGATATCTTCAAATTTATATTTTATTCAAAAATAAAAACATCATCGTTTCTCAAAATCACATAAAATTATATTATAACATCGACTGAGATAAAAGATAAAATAAAATATTAAAATCAAGATAAATATCGCTGCATTGCACGAGTACCCTTCTAGTAATCTTTAATAAGAAAAGAAAAACTCAATTACAATTATATAATTGCAATTTGTTTTTAAGGAGAACACAATTTTCCGTACAAATTTAATTTAATTGTTATTTATCAAGTGTTAACAACATTCCACCCAAATTGAATATTTGACCATATAAAATACATTTACGTATTTTTTTTAAACAAATTAAATACTTTTATTTATTTTTAAGACGAAAAAAATAATTTTCCTCATTTCACATCATTAATTGAATTGTTGAAAAATAAATAAAAAGTGTACAAGTCAATTGAAGGTCAATTAGAATACTTAAATGGTGTTTAATTCATTTTTTTTAAACATTCAATTTTTTTGGGACTTATTATGGCCACAAACAATCCTACATTGAATAGTTTTATATAATAATTTATCGTCAAATATAATATAAACAGATTATCAGATTATCTAGGAAAAATTAGAAGCTTGTCTAAATCAAAAACGACTTTATAAACATTTTTTATAGTTTATATTTTTGTATATGCACTAAAAAATAATTTACAGTATACTGAAATTATTATTGTATGTACAGCCTGAAAACAGTACTTTGTATGTCTATATATGTATGTCTGTAACTATAAGCAAAGCACGGTTTGAGGCTCCGCATTAATAGGTAGAAACTTGTAAATGATATGAATCTTAATTGCCAACATGTTCGTCAAATATTGCTGAAAGGCTTTACTACATAGTTTGTAATGGTTGTTTAATGTCTCATCAACAAGTTAAGCATTGGAAACATAGGATAAGGTAAACTTGAATTTTGTCTTATAACTCAACGAGATCAATCCCATTGTGTCTATTTGTGTTGATATCTGTAATTGTCAATTGTAATCTTGATATAAAAGAAATTCAAGATACAAACCCGCTTGTTTGTATTGGGAGATGGTCCTCGACATTGGATTTGTGATCATCAAATAATGTATAGGAGTCTGTATGGTCTAAAGATATAGAGAGAAAATGATGGTAGTAGATCACACAAATTAATGCTTCGTCACAAAAGTCATACTTTACACATGTCTCTTATACATCAACAATTACGAGTGCAATGATAGAATTTTTTTTAATTCCAAGTTCGTTATTTTCTTTAATGAATCGAGAGTTCATTGTCAATTTTGTTTGTTACATTGAAATAGTCAATTTTTTGCGTGCAATTCATGCATTTAACAAAGTGTTTGTGCTTAGTAATTTTCTAACTCTATAATACAAAATTGAGTTTGTTTAACTTAACGACTCGAGATTCTTAACACCAATTCTCGGCTTGCCTTGTCTGAAAATTAAAAGTAATGCGATATAATTCTTATATATAACTTTAATCAGATATTGTGTTTTATTGTAAGAAACGCTTTTAAGGAATTTATCAAATACAAGAAATGAAAAAACCAAAAAAGATATAAGAACACATTTTCTTTAAGGGTTTGGATTCACTCGTAATTGACATGCCCACTGCAGGGGTAATATTGTATTTACACATATAACCCTCCTAAATTACCGGGGTGGTGCAAAAACGCATTCCAAATTTAACGACGTCGTTCACCCCGAATGCGACTTTCGTGAAGATGACACTGACGATGACACCGACGTCGACGTGCTGCCCGACCCGAAGAACAGATCGGAGAGCGCGTTTCCCATATCCTCCGGCGCGTATTTCACAGCTCCGGCGAACTTTTTATCTTTTGTCATCTCGACTCTTTGCGCATTGTAGAATTCTCTGTACGCCGGCAACAACTTTCTCGCCACCGACACTTTGATTTCGTCTCGGAGCTTGCCGTCTGGTACGACGACGGCCAACTGCTTTCGGTGAGTATCATCGAATATCATGTTGATTCTCTTGAAACTGTCTCTCGCTTCCTCCCGCGTCATCGACGCCGCGTTTTTTGGAATGGTATCTATGACGTGGCTCCATGTTAACCGTTCGTAATTGGCGGCAAACTTTTTGACTTCGGATTCGCGTTTGATGATCCAGTCGTCGCCGAGGAGATACCGGAGATTAGATGATCGGACTTTGGAGAGTATGTGTTGCAGGTTGTTGGCGAGGAATAAATACGCGTGAGAGACGTCTTTGTAGTGCTTTGATTTGCCGTCGAGTTTGCAAACAAGGACGAAGATGAACCAGGCTAACCAGACGGATACTGCCGGCGATGGAGAATCCTCGGAGAATGATTTGTCGAAGAATGTTTCTGGCATTAAGGATTTCTCCGATGGTGGACTGTCGAGTAAGATATCAGCTAAAACGCCGTAATCTGTAAGGAGAGAGAGGTAGCCCATGGTGTCGACTGTAAGTTTGTGAACTCCGGCACCGGCTACGGCAGTTTTCAACGATTCTTTGTTTAGCATCGTTTCGAAGTCGGTTAGGTCTGACCTTACCGATTCACCAAGTTTTATCAATGAATTGACCGCTTGATTCACGATGGAAGATGTTGATGGAAAGGAGAAAATTGAGACGATGTGTGGCCACCGATCTGCTATTGCGGTGTACATATCCAGCGTCCGGAAGATCCTTTCAGACGATTTCTTGCTGTTTTTGGCCACATTTTCTGGAAATCCAAACAGAATGGATGCTCCCTCTTTTGTAATTTCGGTATAACATGCTTCACGGATGGAATCAGACGACGCGAAAACGTGATCGCATAGAATTCTCTCTCCATTGAATAATGTTTTCACAGCAACCTTGACAGCATTCAACCAGGCTTTGATCTTGAGATCCAAAACCTCCGCATCCATTTTATGAACATGAGCTGATTTCAGCTTCTCGACACCAAGCTTGTATATACCTTCATCAACTATGGATTTTCGTATGACTTTGTAAATTTTGACGCACTCCTTACCATAGCCAGATGAAATCATGCACTCTGCGATCGCTTTCAGATCCTTCATAACACCTTCCGCAGCATCTTCAACCTCACCGATCAATTCCCCAGCAACTCGTATATCGTCATCAGATTCATCAGCAAAATCAGATAAACTGGATCGCGTGGAAGTCCTGGAAGATCGAGTGGAAACGGATTCAGGATCCAAGTGCGCTCGATTCAAGGACAAAATCTGATAAAACTCTTTCTCCAACCGCTTCATGGCGATCTGCATGAGATGCTGCGCTCTGATGAGCAACTCAGAGTTGGAGTTGTCGGCGGCCAATGAATGCATGGCCTTATGGAGTTTGTTGACAAGGTTGATGAATTCGAAAGCCTCTTGGCGATTATCGTAGAAGAGCGAGGTGACTTTGGCATAAGTGGAGGTCTCTGGATCCCATTTGACGATGAGTGGCTCCACAACCTCCAGCGTCTGGACCATGACGGAATCGGACAAACTCCTGGAGGGTGCTGGTAAGATGAAACGTGAAGGGGAAGGATAGTGAGCGATGAAAGAAGATGAAGATCGTTTGGGAGAGAAACCAAATTTCTTCATGATCAATTAATGAATTGATTTGACGAAGAAGAAGAAAGAAATGTGAGAGTGAGATTGAGATTGAAAGGATGGCGTCTGAAGAAATGCAGTCTTTCAATGTGTGGAACTGGTAAGGATTGCGGGGTATGTGTGCCGGGATGGGTATTTATAGACAACAAAAAACAATCAACATCTCCTCTTTATTGTTCCATCATTTAGTGGAAGACAAAGTCATTCATTTTTTTAATTTTCTTTTTCAACTAATTTTTAATATTCTTAATTTGTAAAAATGATGTGTTTTAAAATACTTGATTTTTATTTTTTTATCTTTCAAAATATAAGTGTTTACTCATAACTTCATTAATACATAAACAATTAAAATTTAATAAAAAAAATTATAAAAAAAAGATGTAATAATTATTTACTTACTATGTGATTTTTATATTAAAACAAAATGACTACTTTACAAGATAAAAATAGGACATGCAAATTAATGAATTAGCATCCGATGTTACTTCTTACTTTATCTTATAAGATTGTAGTGCACTAAAAAATTTAAAATGATAGGTACACAACAACTTATCCGATAAAAGTCGTCACCTTTATTAACCAGATAAAACCCTTCATCCTTATTATTCTTTTTAACATATAAGATTTCAGACTCTTATCATATTATTTAATAAAATAAATAATCCAATAAACACTTGCTTAAAAACTATTTTTGATACATGAAATATAAAAACCGAAAAGTTAAATATAAATTGGTTGGGAAAAAGGTATTTATTGTATAATAGGTAGTGGGTAGTTTACAAAGAACCTCCACAAGGTGAAGCCGCAATTTTTGTGTTATTGGTATTGACTTGACTTTTTGTTTTCTTGTGTGGGAATGTAGAATGTTCGAGTTCCAGCTTTTTCAAACATGTTCTAATTTAACGCTTCACATTTATTTTAAATCAAATATATTTATCACTTTTCTTTCTAAATTAACATATGATTTTTTGACCTCAACATATTTTATATACTGAAAAAAAAAAAAAAAAAACTTGTTTTTTTAATTATAAAATAAGGCAGTATAATGTATGGATTTTAACAGATATTTTTGTAAAAATTCATAATTCGCAATTGCATATATATATATATATATATATATATATATATCGATTTATAATTTTATTAAGTTTTAAAACTAAAATCCTAACGAACATTTGGTGATATCTCAAGTGATAAGCAGAAGTAGTAAATTATGATATCTAGTTGTAATGCATCAGAGGTGACGTGTCGTGCCCTTTGCCGACGCGGTGTCAAAGTTGGCAGATATAAAAGTTGCTGACATGGACAACATTCACCAATGGTTTCCATTCCATCCTTCTTTTCCTCACACTTTCCTCTCTCTTTTTTTTCCCAATCAACAGAAAACGATCTTCTTATTTTTTATGAATCTAGAAAACTTTGTTACAGTTTTATAATATATGTTAGTATTTTTTTATTATTACGTATTTTATATTCATACAATTGATTTAATGAGATAATCATTTATTTCATTACTTTTTGAAATATATAATTCAAGTACCTTTTTTAATTACTGGTGGAAATTCAATCTTTTATCTGATATTTTTATATAAAATTTCATGATTTATAACTATACATAACTTGTGATACACGGAAGTCATTTTAATGCATCAAAAGGTGACGTGTTGTGCCACTAGCAGACACGGTATCAAATGTTGCAAACGTAGAGGTTGCTGGCGTGGACAACTCATCAATTACCAAATTCTCAATCACTGGAGACCGGAGTCTTCTCTCAAATGACCACCAAATTTCTTCTTCTTTTTTACAGAAATAATATTACGATTTTCTTGTTTTTATGAATTTAAACAACACGTTATAGTTGTACGAATAACTTATTTATATATAACAGTAAAGAGGGCATCATCGTTTATTTATAAAGCGTTTACTAAGTCACATTACCTTATTAGATAAAATGTCAAAAACTAAGACTCTTACTCAGTAAGAATAATGATAAGAATCGAGGATTTTACCTGGTAAGTGAGGGTAACAACTCCTACTCTGTTAACATTTACTGAATAAAATTGTTGCATACAATACCTTTTTTTATAAACTAAAATTTTTACCCGATAAGACAAGTGGTAGAGTCGAATTTTACAAATAAGCATTTATCAGGTAAGTGGCTTCTAGGTGTTTCCTAAATAAATTCACAAGTAACCTTTCCTTGTTCATTAGTGTATGATTCAAATGCTTTATTATTCAATGACATAATTTAGGCTTAGACTATGACAATTTGTATGTATGAACGTTATACTTTTATAAATGTTTTCTTGTAAATGGTTTTGTAACTTCTCAAAACTTTCCAGTCCATCATTTTTAATAATCAAACTTCAATCATTTATTATATGTGCGGTCTACATTCAATCATTTATGTAATTCGTTCACGTCTCTCAATATATATAGTCATACACACACTAATTATGTTGATGAGATTTATCAAGTCAATTTATAATTAAATGTAGTTATTATCATATTTTAAATAAATAATTCTATCCACTTAATCGATTAGAATGTAGTTTTGTATTTATAAAAAATATCTAATATTGGCTGTAATTAATAGACAAGAGGTTTTAGAGCAGGTGGTGAAATTGTGGAAAGAGTAAGGGGTCGTTTACCTAATCACTTACCCGTGAAATTCAACACTACCGCTTATTTACCGGGTAAGATTTTAGTCTACAGAAACAACATCGTATGCAACAATTTACCCGGTAAGCACTAACCGTGGTAAGAGCTGTGACTCTCACTTACCGGGTAAGACTTCCGGACTTTGTTTCGCTCTTACCGGGTAAGACTCTTGGTCCTTACCATATTCATCCGGTAAGGTAACGTAATTTGGTAAGTGCTTACCTGAGTAAGCATTCGGTAAACAGCCCCGTTTATTTATTATAAATTATGAATATTTATTAATTATGTCAGTTCAAGATAATTTTTAATTTGATAATATAATTATAAAACATAATAATAATAATAATAATAATAATAATAATAATAATAATAATAATAATAATAATAATAATAAAGCATAATAATAATAATAATAAAGCATACTAGAAGGACGACTGGACCGCTGCCTTTCCTTTACTTTCACTCTTTTCCTTCCTTGTTATTTATGTATGTGTGTGAACTTATTTTCCATTTTCCAAATTATTTTTAATAATTCAGATTATCAATAAAATGGTCAACCACATATATTCACATTTGTTTTTTCCCCCTTATACGGATCAATTAGTATGTACCTAAATTAATATCAAGGATTTTAGAGAACACTTAGCACTACTAAAAAATGTGGTTTTTTCGACAGTAAAATCCGTCGGAAAAACAACTTTCCGACGGATATTGCCGTCGGAAAAAACCTCGTCGCTTAATACAATTTCCGACGGAATTTCTGATGAATTTGTATTTTCTGGCAAAAAAACCAGCCATAAATCCTTCGAACAGTTTTATAATATGTTATCTCTTTTCCGGGTTAATTAGAAGGTATATAAAATGTGGTTAGCGTTACCGACGGATTTTTCATTGGTAAACTTTTTCCCTCTTCATTTAGAACAATAACCAGTTTTTATTTCAAAAATAAAAATAAAATTTTTCGACGAAACTTCCGTCGGTAATTATATTTAAAAACTGTTTTTCTTATTTAAAATATGAAATGCTTTTTATTTTTAATGAACAAAAAATATTTACCGACGGATTTTCCGTTGGACAATCCACCATATTTTTTAAATAAAGCTTAAATCTAATTATTTACCGACGGATTCTCGATCCGCCAGAAATCCGTCGAAAATGTAGCTGGTATAGGGAAAATACCAAAAAACCTCCTAATCTAAAATCTAAAATATAAAGATCCTGTAAATTAAATACAAATATACGATACACTAATCTATCATAAATACCTAATATGATTATCCGGACGAAATAACATACATATATAAATTTTTGATTGATAATACTAGTTCATAAATACATTATATCAAATCTATTGCGGCGGATCGGCGGAAACTGTTGAGATTATGTAAACCTCTTCATCACATCCATCATGTCCGCATGCTCTTTCTTCTGGATCTCATCTTCTCTATTTTGGATCTCTTCTCGGCGGAAAAGTTTATCAACCTCCTTCTGTAGGATCTCATCTCGAGTGAGCATTTTTTGAATTTGGGACCGTAAGTTGTTAAATTAACTACAAATACAATAAAACATTAAAACTTTCAATAAGAAGTATAAATGAAATAAATAAACATCAAATGATACAAATATACACACCCGACTATCTACTGCGTTTAATATCCATTTTTATAGCAGTATAGAAAAATCTTCATTAACTTTATGAAATTCGAATTGAAAACCTATAATGGAAATCAAGACCAACATTATTTTTGTTATTTTAGAAAGAAAAAATAAAGTTTGATTTTGTCAGGTAATCGAATATGTTATTATTAATAATAAGTAAGTATGTAAAATATAGTTTGATAAGGATTAATTAAAACATTAAATAAATTAATTATGAATAAATAAACACAGTTGGAAGGCACACGGTGACGATATATAATATGATCATTATTTAGTCTATATGTGTCACCTCTTTACAAGTCAATTATTTTAACTACCATAATTCAAATGTTGACTAATTATGTTATTTTCATATATAATTTAATTAAAAATATATCTACTTATATATTTGGCGAATTTAAATTGGAGTTTTTGAAAATTAAACTTGATAAACAAGTAATTATATATTCTGATACATATTTATTTTTTATTAATTTATGTTTCGAAAATAGTAAAAGGAGGCCTTCGTGATAGATTTTCGTTACTAAATATATACATGAGTTTGTTTTATTATAAACGCCATCTTATAATTTTTTTAAAAAAAATATTTGATTAAGGTTAATTTATTTCGTTTAGGTTTGTCGATGAAACATCTTTTATTTTGGGTTATCACTCAAAAAGAAAATTTTATT